TGGGTTATGAATTGTAGCCTCCCATGGTCCTCCTTTCTGAAATTATCCGTACATTTATTTTGGCAGATTTCTGCTACTATTACGTTAAAAGGTAGGCTATAATAAGCTTCATTTGTATGCCAAAAAATCTTTGAACATAATTCTTGTGGTTGCAGTCTTGTTGGTAGACAGCTTGTGTTATGCCTACCTTCTGGAATAGTGTGAGTTCTGTCAGAAATTAGCGTCTCCGCAAATAACTTAAAATTGGGAACAAGGAGGTATGTATAATCTCTAGTCCTGTGCAAAGTTGCGAGGAATGCAATTGTGCTGTGGTAAATATATATGATTTAAGAGCATGAATTTTTACAGTCGGTCTGTAACTACGCTAGGGTTTATATGATTTATTCTTCATTGATTCTTCAAAGGCTATCCTTAAAACCAGGTTTTACGATGAATTTTGTAGCTAAAAGAGATTAGTTATTAAATGAATTTTGGTTCTTTTTTTTTGGGTCCATCGGAAATAACAGACAAGGACTAAGCTTCTTCATTCCCATCCAGGAACATCGGGTGTGTTTGGCTTGTTTTTAAGAGAGTGATTTTCAAAAAAAAATTTGGGCAGAGAGTTTAGAAATTTTTTTGATTTGTTTGGTTGTATATTTTGAAAATAGTTTTAAAGTTTGAGAATTTGGGATGATTTGATATTTTGTTGTAATTGAGTAGATGTGTGTGAGAGAAATAGTGATTGAGAATGAGAGAGGAGAGAGAAAAGGTGATTGATTGATGTGTAAGAGAGAGAAAATGATTTTGAATTTTTTTTTTGAGAAAAACTGTAAACCAAACAAAATTTTGAAATTTTTTTTTAAAAACAACTCTCTCAAAAATAAACCAAACAAGCTCATCATATCCGCAACTAAAACATGGCGGATTTCTTCTGGTGGGTCATTTACAATAAGTAGATCTAGTGGTTTTGAGTCAACATTGAAGCAATGTGAACTCCGCATCGTGGGAAATTCCTTTTATCATTTTTTAACCAATTTTGATTTTGTTTACCGTATCCTTTAAATTAAAGTAGTTATCATATGGCCTAACGTCTTGACTGGCATGTATGCCCGCTCTTCGGGTGTGGAGCTGTTAACTCCCTTGCTAAATGTGTTGAGTAGTTGACATCAATGGTTTCAAACCCGGATCGGACCAGCTGGTCAAATCGGGAACTGGGCCTTATCTGCTTTTTGAAACGGCATTTTCTGCCGTCGCAAATAGTTTCGTCTCATATACCCACTTTTCTTGTAGTGTTAACTCCCTTGCTAAATGTGTTGAGTAGTTGACATCAATGGTTTCAAACCCGGATCGGACCGGCCGGTCAAACCGGGAACTGGGCCTTGTTTCGGTCCGGCCAACCCCTTAAATCGGAGTGGCGCCAAAACTGGAAAAAATTCTTATTTCAAGAATCTCCTCTCATAAGGAAGAGTCTCATTGAAAGCTTGAGAAGATTATGAAAGTTTATTCCTATTTATAAGAAAAGATTTTTCAAAGAGAACCTACAAAATTCTATGTGGGATTCAATCAAATTATTTGAAACATATTGATTGGAGGGAGAGTTGAAAATTTCATTTCCTTCCAAAATTAAACTAGCATTCAATCAATTTATTTGGAATGAATGTTTAAAAAACTTAATTTTTTTAAAATAAGTGCCTTTTTTTAATCAATTATGACTTTATTAAATATTATTAATAAATACTATGCAACAATTTTTATTTTTATTTGATTATTCATATATATTTTTATTTATTTAGAATTTGTAATTATATTTTTTAATTATATAATATTAATTATGACGTCACGGTTCGACCGCTTTGACCTGACGGTTGAACCGGTGACCTGTCCACTCAATCCCTTCTCCAGTTCGCTCACCGATCTAGTTTTGAAAACATTGGTTGACATGCAAATGGAGGGAGAAATGGGTTGAGAGAGGGGAATGACAGATTATTTTTTTCAATTTTTAATTGTTGTATTCTTTTCTGAAAAAAAAAAAAATTGTTGTATTCTTCATATATACATATTTATACACATTCATGTTGTGTTTGGTTGGAGGATTTGAGAATAGATTTGGAAAGAGAAAAGGAAAAAATGTGTAAAAGTATGTGAAATTTAGACATATTTTATTCTCATTTCACCTACTTTTTCTATTTTTCTTTCTAAATCCCTACTCAAATCCCCTAACCAAACACAACATCAAAGAGATTTGACACTGATCTAACACACCTTTAACATTTCAATTGAAGTAACCACCCATGTCTGGCTAAATTATCAAACCTTTACCACAAATTTAGATTTCACTTTCATAACTTATCATATAACACATTTAATTTTATCATCTCTATTGGGTGCCAGGAGAGATTGAGATGTTTTCTCTTCTAGCTGTGGGACATAAATGTAGAAAAGTAGAAACTAGGAAGTACAGATGTTTCCAAAGAGATTTGCAATCCTAAGCATCATCACAGCTGGAGTCCACTGATTGATAGCAGATCTTTCTACAGCTGTAGGACTGAGTACTAGGCTTTCCTTCTTTAGGCATCAAGAAAAGCCTAACACTTAGGTCTCTTTCGGTAATTAGGTTAAAAAGTAGTTAATAAGTTTTTTTTGAATCATTTTATCTCTCAATTTTTTTACATACTTTTTAAAAAAAATAAAAATAAACCAAAAAATTTGCTAAAAATTTGACACTCGATCCGCTATCTCACCAATCCCACATACTTGTAGAAGGACCAAGGACATGGTGTTAGGTTTATTTGGAGCTTTTATTATTATTATTATTATTATTATTATTATTATTACATCAATTTCTTTAGGTTCAGTAAAAAATAAAAAAAAATGGTAGATGTTGGATTTGGGGGAAATTTCACTCTTAAAGCATTTCCAGTGGTTGATGTCAAAATGTTATAATCTAACAATTTTGTTCCAAAACCTTCAATGGTGAAAATAAAAGTTTCTCTAGTTATTTTCACAAAATTTAAATTAATATGGGGTTCCATCACAAGAGAGAGAGTGTGAGAGAGAGTTTTGCTTAATTAAGATAATACTATTACTTAAGAAAAGGATTATGATTCTTGGGGGGACCATGCCCATTTTTGACCTTTGACACTTGCTTTAGTACTACACCATTAAAGAAACTCTTCGCTTTTAAGTACAATTTGGTCACATATTTCTTGTAGAGGATGCCAATTATCAATTCATAGAAATGTGACTTTGCCATGTAGCTGATTTTTTTGTTTTAATTTTATAATAATAATAATAATAATTATTATTATTATTATTATTATTATTTCAATTTCTTTAGGTTAAGTAAAAAATAAAAAAAAATGGTAGATGTTGGATTTGGGGGAAATTTCACTCTTAAAGCATTTCCAGTGGTTGATGTCAAAAGGTTATAATCTAACAATTTTGTTCCAAAACCTTCAATGGTGAAAATAAAAAAGTTTCTCTAGTTATTTTCACAAAATTTAAATTAATATGGGGTTCCATCACAAGAGAGAGAGTGTGAGAGAGAGTTTTGCTTAATTAAAATACAACAATGATTCATCTCCCATTTTCCTCCCACCCCCTTTGACCCCCTCTCTCTCTTATTGGTTACATTTTCTTTTTCTTTTTCTTTTTTTTCCTGCTCCTCCAATCACCACCCGCCACGTGACAAAGGAGTGAGGGGGTGACCCCCAAAAGGGGTCCCAAGCATTATTCATTAAGATAATACTATTACTTAAGAAAAGGATTATGATTCTTGGGGGGACCATGCCCATTTTTGACCTTTGACACTTGTTTTAGTACTACATCATTAAAGAAACTCTTAGCTTTTAAGTACAATTTGGTCACATATTTCTTGTAGAGGATGCCAATTATCAATTCATAGAAATGTGACTTTGCCATGTAGCTGATTTTTTTGTTTTAATTTTATAATAATAATAATAATAATTATTATTATTATTATTATTATTATTTATGTAGCTGATTAATGGCTGCCCAATCTTTAAGAAATAGAAATTTCGACAATGCTACGTAGCTCAAATTTTGTGGCTCAAAAGTGGCTCAAATGGCCAAAACGACGTCGTTTTGAGTACAGAACAACATAAAAATGACCAAAACGACGTCGTTTTAGCCATTTAAACCACTTTTGGGCCACAAAATTTGAATTACGAGACATTTTCCTAGAAATTTTCTCATAGATCATGAGGAATATGCAGGGATGGCCATGCCCCATAAGCTATTATGTTCCATGATATAATTAGGATTCCATTTCACCCATAGACTCTTAGCTTTGTCTTTTTGCTTAGAAGCAATGGGAACATTTTTAGTGGTTTAGTATATTTGTGTTATTTTAGTACAATGAAAATATTTTTTATTTAAATTTGTTACAAGCGATTCCAACAATATGTAATTTTTTATTGTGCTAAAAAAGAACAGATGCATTTAATAATTTCTATACTATTTTTCCATCCACCTATTGACCACAATTTTTAATTGTTTTTTTTTTTCTTTCAACTCACTAATTTAAGTAAAAGGACATGTGCATTGATGTATTTTTTTAAAAAAAACATTTTAACTTAAATAAATTTACTTACAATAAATTAACTCTCACTTTCCAATTATAATGGCAAAAAAATAAGGGGAAATTATTTATCAATGGGTCTGCTAGAAAATTATTACAAATCCATGGAAAAGTTTATATTTTTAATTATTAATATATAAATTTTATAATTTATTTGCAATTTTTTTTTTTAAACATTACATTGCATTGAAATTTCCCCTATATTCTTTGTCGGTATTATTGTGATCAAACTTACGTATATGTAATGAAATTAAAATATTTTGGTTCATCATTTTTCTCTGTTATTTCCCATATATAATTTTATTAGAAATATAAGGACACTTAGTACTTTTAAAAATAAAAAATAAAAAAGTATAAGAACGGCATCTAAAAGCAGACTAACCACACACTCCTCATATGAATTTACGAGAGTAATTACGCATATCATAAACACTACACAGAGACATCTTTATTTATTTAGCAAGATAATATTAGGATCACAACATTTGAATACCACATTCGAATCTATTATTCATATCAACATTCATTTAAAAGACGTAACGTAATGCTTAAACACTGGTTAAGTAGGCAACTGCCATATGTCTAACCAAGATTCCCAGCACCACCAAACCACCGGTCCACCACCATGCCACCGCTGTGTATGGGATGAGTAAGTTTGGTTGATAGAGTAGATATTTAAGGGCACTTGTGTTTGCCACCGTGGGTAGTCATGTTGGCGTAACAAGGACAAAGGTCTTCGTTACCAGAAGTGCCTGGAGGCACGCAGTTGCAACGTTGACAGCAAGTTCCACAAGCCCTCTTGCACAGATTCTGCCTTGATGATAGCTTGCACCTCTCACTGCATGCCCCTCCACAATCTATATATACACACACACACATACCCAAATCCTTTTAAATTTATTTTTTAAATTTAACTTGTCTCCTGGAGTCGTATTTTGATAACACGATTTTGAAGATTGAGATAACGACTTGAGTTTAGGAAATAAGTTCAAAATTGTTTGTGTTTAAGAATTGCATTTAGAAAAAAAAAAAAAAAAAAAGTGAGAGTGTGAGAGAGAGAATGTCAACCTATTTTCTGGAGGAGAGAACGACCTATGACACTGCCGTTCATCTGCATGATGATGGAAGAACTAATTTTATAAATAAGGCTAGAAATTAAAAATAAAATAAAAATAATGAAAGACAATAAAACAGAGAAATGGATCTTACAATTTCATGGTCGCGAGCTTGAACAAGAGAGTAGGTGATAAGAGAAATAAGAAGTGAAGCAATCAGAGACTTTGAGAAGGCCATAACTCTGCTTTTCGTCCAAACTACAATCCTAGGACTCTTCTGTATCAATTGAGAGAATTATGTGCTGTATTTATACAGAGCGAGAGAGAGAGAGAGAGAGAGAGAGCATGGGGCATGGAAGCAATTATCAGCCACGTGTTTGGTTGAAAAATTTGAGTAGAGATTTGAAAAAAGAAATAAAAAAAATAGGTAAAATATAAATAAAATATATTTATATTTCATTTAATTTTATATTTCTATTTATTTTTTCTTTCCAAATCTTTTTTCAAATCTTCCAACCATACATTAATCTAATGAGTTTACTGAGAAAGAAAGGTGATATGCTTGTGGGGGCAGTGGGACATTTGGAATTATCTTAGCCTCCGTTTGGGAAGTGGGTTGGCTTTTTAGTTTTTTGGCTTTTTTGGCTATTTTAGCCTGGGCTAAAAAGCTTGGTTTGGGAAGAACTTTTGGCTTTTTCGACTTTTTTTTATGAGAGAATAGTGTAATGATTATGGATTGGATATGATATTTTGTTTGTTGTGGCTAAAATAACCTATTTTATCTTTTGTGACTAAAATAGTCAAAAAAACCTATAAACCATCTTCCCAAACGGATATATAACAAAGTGCATATTACCCAAGGGCTTCCTACTATGAGAACTTAGAGCAATTTTGTAGAAAAAAATTGTTGGGTCAAAGTTTGACAATTGCACAATGTTATAAGGGTAAATTATACTTACATTCTTGAAATTTGTATTTAATATCTATCACTACTTGACGTTTGAAAAATTACGCTAACTCCCCTATCACTGTAATTATTTTAACAGAATGAATACATTAAACTCATGAACTCTCTCTTTTCTTACTTTGCATTACTCTTCTGTTGTTGTTTTTTTTTTTTTTTTTTTAAATGTAATTCTCTATTTTTCTTCTAGGAGTTGTTGCGTTTTATATAAGTAAGAGATTTGTGAAACGAGACTATCGACTATAGGAGTAAAAATGCAATTTTCATAATGTCAAGAAATGAGATGTAACTAGATCAACTCTCAAGGTATCAATGTAATTTACCCATGTTATAATTTGACAACAGGAATAATAGACCATTAAAAATGATTTTTAGAGAAATTTTATCAAATTTTATCTTTGACAAATATTTTAACACATGGTTGACGTTGCTCTCATCAATGCAGACTACAGGCCTTAAGTTATTTAAAACGCTGGCCAATATTGGGATAGTGTTTGGCTCATTGAAATTAAATAAAATAGAATTACCATTCTATTAAAATGTTTAATATCATGTTTGATTGATTAAAAAAGTTATCAAAAATATGTTATAAATAAAATTATTATTTATTATTGTAAGAGAATAATCATATTCGAAAATAGTAGCTAAGGGGTGACCATTTAATTCCCTTCTATTTCATTCCCGACAAACTAGAAAAATGTTTGGGGAGTAATGGTATAGACCACTAATTTATCATCACTAACCCCATCACTAATGAGGTGGCAATTGAAAAAAAAAAAGAAAAAAAAACAAGGCACAAAACATGTGGTAGTGTGTCACCCACTGCCACATCATTAGAGCCATCACTAATTAGTGGTCTAAAACATTTTTGAATGTTTGGGATATTAACAATCTTACTAACACACTCACAAGTTGATGTGGGTCTCATACTAAGTGATGATTGATCTTATCAAAATTTGTGAGTGTGTTAGTAAGATTGTAAGTATTCTTAACATTGTTGAACTCATAATTAAGGGAGATTTGATCAAAACTCATTCATAATAAAACTTTAATACATTAAGGGTTGGTTTGGGAAGTGGGTTGGCTTTTTGATTTTTTTGAATTTTTTGGCTATTTTAGCTTGGGCTAAAGAGTCTAGTTTGGGAAGAATTTTTTGGCTTTTTGATTTTTTTGACTTTTTTGTGAAGAAGAGTATAATGATTATGAGTTTGATGTGTTGTTTTGTTTTTTATGACTAAAATAGCCTATTTTGTCTTTTGTAGCTAAAATAGCCAAATTAGCCCTTCTCAAACGGACCCTAAGGATAAGTACAAAAAAAAAATTCTTGAAAAGATTAGCACATATCATTATTACCAAAATATCCTTAGTGACTAATTTAATATTATAAATTTTAAAATGATATAACTTTTGATCTAGATGTTGGTTTTTAAATAAATTTATATTTTTAGAATCCTCTCATCAAGATCTATCAAACAAACTCTAGGTTTAGTATAAATTTTTTTTTAAAAAAATGCCATCAAAATTTTACTTTGTTTCACAGTAAAGTTTTACTTTGTCATTACTAGAGTAGGCGAAATCGCAGCATCATTCAAAGTAAAATTTTACTATTTTTTATAATAAAATTTACTGTCGTTAAGCATATCAACGATCAAAGTTTATTGTCGTTAACTAGAATAAAATTTTACTTTACAAAAAAAAAAAGTATATATTAGATGAACGAACGAACGAAAAATATAGATACACAACATTTTCAAACTTATAAAATAAAATAAAAGTGGAAAATTATTGAATTGATAAACGATGTGAGCAGAAGCCTAGTTTAAGGTACATTAGAAGAAACAAACAATGATTACCTTCTCTTCTTATTTATTTTTTGAAACCCAAACAATTAAATTATGGTTTGCGGGTTTCGCCTTCGGTGATTGATGGATGAAAAAGATCGCAAATTTTGAGACTTTCAAAAGTAATTCGGTGACACTACCAAATCCCAAACAAAGAAGGATTTCTCAGATAATTACAAACTAAGGAATTTTGCAAATTTCAAATTTGTGAGATATATATGCATGAGTAATATTATTCAGGAAAAAAAAAAAAAACAGAAATTGTATTCAATCCATACTCAATTAAGAGATTTATGAAGCAAAATAAATTTAACTGCTATTTTTACCAAAAAAGAGCTCAATGGAAGGGTTTTTAACCAAATTTCTCAATAATTAATTATTGTCAAACTAAATAATACTTGAATAATTTGATTTATTTGTCATTTTATATGTCATTACTGAATTAGTAACCAATATAAATAATAAAATTCATTAAATCAAAACGATATTAACACTGATAAATACATGTGTTGTGAGATGATTGTGACCTAATTTCTCCGGACAAGGCTCGCATGGCGTCAATTTAATTTTTCAACAATGATTTGTACTATTAAAAAAAATATCACTAATAGCACTAATGCATTAAAAATATATATATAAAAAAAAAAAATGTGAATATTACTTATAAAACAGTCCAACAGTCTTCCGAGTAAAGGAAGATGTATCAGCTGTTTTGGTATAGCTTTCCCTTTTGTAAATGGATGCCATCCCTTTTTAATGCCCACTTTAATATACTTATCAAAATAAATGCTACAACCATCCAAAAAATTTCTCATGTTTATTGATCATAGTCTCTCTCCCCTAGTTCCACAGCAGGTACAGGAGTCCACTTCTATTTAAATATTTTCCAGAATTGAATTTTGCATTCAGCACCATGATCAGTTCATCATCACCAGACCTTTCTTGAACTATTTATGGTTGTTTGCGCAGGTCCTATTAAAGCATTCCACAACACCTAGAGGCCGCTTTGAGGTATTTTAAGGCATTTTCTAGGACCCTCCCATCTCTTGGCCTTCATTATTCACAGGCCAAAAGTGTAAAGGAAACAAAGTTTCACTGTAGACAAATTGAAGGTGAAGGCATTGCATCTTAAATTCATTAGTGATACTGACTGCTTCCCATGACTGAACCCATGCCATAGCACTAGGAGCAGATAGCACTCGTCATTGCTCCAGGTCACTGGTGTAGCACTAATATTGACAATCAAGGATTATCCTCGAAGTCCTTTTCATTTGTATTGAGTAATTTGATCTTCCCCAGCTGATATTCATTTTAATCCAGATTCTGGAAGTTCATCTGAGACGGTTCGAAACAAATGAGTTTCTATGCAAAACAAATATAAATCCCTTGGTGGCACAAATCATTTGAACCCCTAAACAACCATAAAAACATCCTAAACAACCTCAAAAGCATCCTAAACAACCTTCAAAGCATCCTAGAGCATAATATGTCACTACTAACCAAACAGCTTGCACAAGGGTTTCAGTTGATCTAGACTAGGAAACAAGTGAACATAAGAAAGGACCTGTGATTGGGACTCAAACCTAATAAGGCAGGCAGATTGAAAGCTAAATGAGACCAGGTTATACGAATGAGACTTCTAGAAATTCCTTGTTGATTGTGAAGTAGCATAGGGCTTTCTTCTGAAAATAAAAGCTTCCTCAATCACGCATGGTTGAGCTTGGGTCACTTCTAAGAGACCACTATCTCCATTTTAGCACTCAGGGTCTCCTCCTTCATGTCTCTCGCCTCTCATTCTAACTCTGCATCCATTGCAAATTCAAGCAGCACTTTACCATATAGATTCACATAAAAACTTTTTGGCACCCGGCCCCCAAAGATGGTGGAATTTGCTTAGCCGACAAGGAAACTCACTGCCTCCAAAGCAAGAAAGGAAAACGTTTAAGGTACATGCCTTACTTATTTACATAAGAAAAATGTTTAATTCACCCACCCACGCACCCACCCGCCAAAAAACTATTGTACTGATTTACATCCATAGGGTTTTCTCAAACTTGCACATTTAACAGTTAAATCCCCAACGTGTACCAAAACATTCCAGGCCCTTACTAGTACTTCATCTTGGTATCCTGAAAAAGCTTTTGCAAGATCCTGTATACTGCTCACTATAGCATTATGAACTTCTTTCCCTCCAGTAAGACAAAACCTGCATGTGATCAAACATAAAAAATAAAAATAAAAAATGTACAACACAATTGAAGCTGACTCCAAGGATCAGATAATCAAAATGCAGCCTGCCCTCACAAAGAAAATATACTTTCCTCGTACTTGGGTTGAGCCAGAAATATACATTATCTAAAATGAATATAGTGAAAAACTCACCCAAACAATTCCAGGAGTAGAGAAACTTCCTCTTCATTTGGTGCTTCAAGAATCTGAACAAAAAAAATAAAAATAAAAATAAAAAACCAAGTTAACCCCCATGACCATTATGATGTAAAAACCTCAACAACAACCACCAAAACTACAGAGATCCCAAGCAAGTAAAACAATATCAATCATTCTTCATTTATGTGAGTCGTTTTGATAAGTTGACTAAAGAAAAGAAAAAATAATTCATAAGTTCTTAAGGCCCACACCACTCTCAATGACCATGTAAATTCCTTGTGGTGTGCTTACACCAAGCAAAGCACTTTAAGATACAATAAGAGCAAATCATGTGGATCAATCCTAGAGAGTACATATATTATATATATACAAATTACTAAAATTGCAGGAGATCATCATGTTTCTCTTTAGCTAATTTTATTTTTAATTAACAAGCAGAAATGACAGAAACTAATTTCCCGTACCATAGATATTGCTATTCCCTCCAAAGCTTGGCTGTACAGAAAAACATCCAGAAAATTCATTGGTTCACCTCCCAGATCCGGATCATAATACAAAACCTAACCAGAATTAACAAGAGTTAGAAACTTATCAAAGGATGGCATGTGTCAATATTTTTTTATGCGAGAGACCAACATTTCGCCAGTAATCAACAAAAAAAAAATGTAAGCCAATGATATGCAATCCTATCTTATTCTTTTTTCTGTTTTTTTTTTTTGGGTGAATATTCCTATCTTATTCTCTTATCTAAGGATACAAGAAAGTGCAAAATGTATTACGATATCAATATTCCTTTTCCAACAAAATGTCAAGAAAGTTGGGGCCATATAATATTGGTGTGTTTTGAATACAAATTACAACATCGAAGCTGAGTGGTTTCCTCACATTGAGGAAATGGCAACTAAACAACAGTTACAAACTACAAGCACTCTCCAGCATTTTTACTATTTTCGTCTTCTTTTATATATATATATATATATATATATATTTATATAAATAATCCACCCTTCAGGAATATTTCCACAATACTTCACATGTTGAAAGGCATATCATGACTCAACAAAAGAAAGCAAGGACCTGAAGAAATTCCAATCAGTCAAACTATAATCTCTTCAATTGTTTAAAAGAACAAGCACAAATATGGTTGCACCACTAGAAGAATATGAAACAAAAGAAAAAAGAGTAAGATGTGTAACATGATATCCCAAAGCAAGGATCACAAAATATGTCTTTGAACCAAAAGCTGACAATAGAGGGCTCAATTTAAATAAAACTATGCCAGCACACCCTGCATTCATCAGTGTCGATCCTACCCAAGCTTGCCAGAACTTTCATTCAGTTTCTTCCTTTTCTCTCTTTGCTTTGTATGGCATTCAAAATGTATTACTATTCCTGGGGCATCGTTATAGTTCAGGTTCACATCCATGGGTACATTATTCAAGAAGGCCAAACTAGGTCACCACACCCTAATGTGTTGATCCTAATATTAAGCTTGCCAGAAGTCATGAATATGGTTGTGGAGCAACTCATACAACTTTTACATAGTTTCCACAGTATAAAGGCTTTATGAAGATTTCTACACAATGGTATTAACAGAAAAGCTCCCACCCAACACAAATGGTGGCTTATTTTCATATCCTAAATTCCCTAGAAAGAATTTTATAAGATTATTATTAGCAATACAAAGGGCATGCCTAACCTATAATGCTTGAAAATTGTCCCTTAAATTTTATATTAGTATTATTTAATTATAAATGAGAAAAATAAAATTTTATGTATGATTTAAAAATAAATAAATAAAAAAAATTTCAAGATGCTTATCCTTGCAGATAAGCATGCAGCAAGAAAGGGCCACGTGGTGGATACACGTGGTTCTTTGGGGAGGGAAATAAATGGCTTGGAGAAGAAGAAAAGAACCTATATAAGGGTGCCTCGGGTAAGAAAAGAGGAGCAAGGAAAGAGTAGTCAGTCAATAAAAGAGGATGTTTCGGTAAATGATTAATATTTAAGTGAGTTATAATATACCTCGAGTTACCATAATATATTTTACGTATGTTTTGAGTTACCATAATTTGCTTTACGCAATTTGTGTTTTATAAATTATATTAATATTTTAATTACGTTAATTATTTTCTGAATCCTATTTTCTTAAAATGAAATCCATGGATATGTTTATTTAACTTTTAATAATTGTTTAACTATGATTATATAAATATTTATTTTTGGTAAGTACCGCCACGGGAGTCTCATGCCTTGGGGGACTTAAATAACCATTGGCCATCTGATTAGGCACTTTGTGACCCTCTGTCTGTCATAGATCCATTGACACTCTGATTTCTGGTATGGAGCAAATGCTGTATGGAGCTAGGTGCTATACTATTGTGGGAGCCACCTCTAGAGTTCGTACGAGCCACCTCTTGAATCCTATTCTGGTGTGGAGCAAAGTGTTGTACAGAGCTAAATGTTACATTATTGTGGGAGTCACCTCTAAAGTTCGTATGAGCCACCTCTTGAGTTCACACATCTGTTATGTTTTGTACCGTGGTTATCATTTTTTTTGTTTATACGATTTCTGTATTATATGTCAAATGATTTTCGTATTATATATTCAGTATTTTAATATCAAGCTCTGTTTAGCCCCATAATTATTCATGGTGAATTTTATGTATTTATGCTCTTAGTATAATATTTCTTATTTTGTCATGTACTTAGTTGTTTACACTTTCAGGTGACATGTTAGGGCCAGCTCATGCAGTAGGCACAAAGCATTTTGTAGACATAGTTTAGCTTTGACAATTTAATTAAATAGAAGCTCAAATAATTATTTTGGTACCCTCACTTAAATATTATTTCTACTCGTGTTTATTTATTTGTTCAAGAATTGGCTGGAGGTTACTTCAGTTACCGGCCATCACGATACTTAACCCTTGAGTACGAGAAGCGGGTCGTGATAAGTTCAAGTATTCCCCATCTCTTTGTGTACTTTTTTTATTAAAAAAAAAAAAAACACTCTTACGTGACATGAGGAGAGTAAATGTTCACTATACCAATTGAGGCCTTCACTTAATAAAAATATAGATATTTATGTAAAACAAAAAAAAAATAGTTTTTTTATTTTTTATTTTTTCACAAGATAACGGTTAATATATTAATAATTAAATTATAATATAAATCTTGATAAAAAACAAAATTATAATATAAATCAACCTCTCTCTATATACTCGAATCTCAAACCTCAGTTACTTTGGTATCTAAATATTTGACTATTTTTATCAAAATATTTTAAAAAATTATACTATTTATATCAAATTTTCTTTGAAAAATTATATATATAATTTATTTTCAATATTTCATCTTTTTAATTTTTTTTATCAAAATCAAATTTAATAAAGAATCTGATAAATTCTCAAACTTAATGAAAAAAAATGATTATCACTTAATTAGATGAAAATTTAGATTGTGTTTAAAACATAAATTTAGGTAAAGATTTGAAAAAAAAATATATGTATATATAAAATATAATTATATTTTATTAACATTTTACCTATATTTTTGTCTTTAGTGTCCTTTCTCTTTCCGTTTTTAAATTTTTACGTAAATCCCTGATGCAAACGAAGGTTAATGAAAGGTTTAAGAAAATTATTGACCAATTTTTTTTATTAAATTTAAATTTGATAAAAAAAAAAATGTAAAATTGGAGATACTACAATAAAAAAGTAAGCCTCCGTTTGGGAAGTGGGTTGGCTTTTTGACTTTTTTGACTATTTTAGCCTGGGCTTAAAAGCTTCGTTTTGGAAGGACTTTTTGACTTTTTGGCTTTTTTGAGTTTTTTTGTGAGAGAAGAATATAATGATTATGGGTTGGATGTGATATTTTGTTTGTTATGACTAAAATAGCCTATTTTATTTTTTGTGACTAAAATAGTCAAAAAAACCTGCAAACCCACTTACCAAACACAGGCTAAATATGACCTTTCATTTAAATGAACAGTGTACCCTTAGTAAAGTGCTCCGGCTTTCTGAAAGGATAATGAAAGAAACAAAAGAAACACTGGGATACCATTTGGACCAGGAACTTGAGGCAAAGATTGCACAAGAGCCTTGAGGGGATACCATTTGGACCAGGAACTTGAGGCAAAGATTGCACAAGAGCCTTGAGCAGAGCAACACAAAAAGGTAAGCACCAAAATCACTACATGCATATATATATATATATATACATATTAACTTGCTTTATTGATACAAATTCCATGCTTCACTGATAGAATGAGTAAAGGGGTATCTGCTTCTCAATTCTCTTGACATTGAAGGGCAAAGGGATGGCTGTTTCTCTTGTGAGTGTGAAGAGATTGTGCCCTTCAATTTCAAGTTCAGCTGAGGAAGTTTCAAAACCAGTGAATCAGTGTAATGTTGGGTTTTTTCCTCTGCAATGTATATTGGGTTCTTTTTCTTTTCATTTGCTAGCATTTACCCAGATTGATTTTGTTTTAGTAATTCAATTTGGGGTTTTGATTATTACTGTTCTTTATTTAATTACCAAAAAACCCAATTAGATTATCACTTTCCCTTGTTGTTTGTCCCAAGAAGGTAGCTATTGATAGATGTTGTAGCAGTATATTATTCAATCTTCCACCAAGAACCCTTTCTGTCTTTCTTGCACACACACAATCATATGGCGTTTTCTTTTACTAGTTTTCCAGAACTATTCAAGATTAATTAATGCCGTAATGGCCGTGCTGTACTCTAGAGGCCCCTAATTGGTTTCGGGTCTAGCATTCCATCATATCTCTTGTTCTAGGAGATCTTGGATTCAAGTCTCATCACCTCATTGTCTTTGTTATTGTGCACTGTATTATGCGATCTTATTCGCTTAGTTTGTTGGGAAAATTGCAAATCAGTGTAAGTTTTCAAAAATAATTTCAAATTTGTGGTAAACTTTATCAACTTTAATAATTAAAGTTATAAACTTTTCCATGCATTTGCAAATATTTTGTGAAGTTTCAACTGATTTGCAATTTTTCATAGTTTGACTGTTCACGCACGAGATGGGATCTCAATTGCGTGAGTGTTAGCTTGATAGAACCATAGTATCAGAGATGAGTCTTGAGTGGTCTCTTTGGCCTGTGTCCACCGCAGATATATTTTTATCTCATCTCTCTATCGCTCCTTATGCAACCAAACCGCATGTGTGAGAGTGTTAGAGACGCATCACACATTGTCACTCTAAACCATCCAAGCTTGGTTCATATAATCTAGAGGCACCTCCACCAAAAGCCAATTTGTTTTGGTTTCGATGCCTCCGAAAATTCTAACGACTTCATTGGTGCATCATACCATTACATGAATGACAGATAAGAAGTTATGTCAAATTTAATACAAAAACTTGGTCATCCTAGCATTACTTTTATTCAAAAGCATGTAACCGTATTAAACTACTTGCACATCATTTTTGACCAATCTGCCATTGTAACTTACTCACAACCCACATTTTTTAATTTCTCCCAGGCTCCTAGTGTGTTGTTTTTGATTGTTTTCTTCAACGAGACAGTAATATGACTTCTTCATCTACTTCCATTCTGATGTAGTTATTCCTCATTGTTGCGTCCGCATGTGTGTGTTTTATTCATTGACTCCTTTTCTGCAACATAACAGATAAACTGCGATCCAGGTGCCATGTTGTGTTACCCTCTCAAGAGACGGTATCTCACCGTCGACATGTTTTATTATGTGGTAGCGTTTCAATATTTACCACTTTAACCTTCAATTGCCCCCTGATGCCTTTATCTGCATGGGCTGGAGACGAGGTGAAGGGAGAAGAAGAAAACAAGGATGAGAATGTTGTTGGGGCCATAAAATCATTGTTCGATCCTGATGAGAAAACAAAGACTGGAAAAGTGTTACCAAAAGCTTACTTGAAATCAGCAAGAGAGGTTGTGAAGACACTACGCGAGTCATTGAAGGAAGACCCCAAGGATGTGCCAAAATTTAGACGGACGGCAGATTCAGCAAAGGAATCAATTCGGGAATATCTAAACGGTTGGAGAGGACAGAAGACAGTAGTCAATGAGGTAAGTTTCTTTAACTAGTTTGTATGATGTCAAACCTCATGGAAATGTCACATTTATTTGGGTAACTCATGTAGTTACGAATTCACACTACCAAGACTAAAAGGCAATTGTTTCAAGCATTGCAATCACCTATTTTGAGATTTTGATCGAATAAGGTTGCTTCATCACGAGTTTAAAACAAAGAAATAGTCTATTTGCATGCAAAGGTAAGACTGTGTACACCTAACCCTTCTCAGACCCCATAGTGGCAGGAGTCTCGTGCACTGGGATGCCTTTTTTAAATTCTGACTTCCTGCAAGAATGACATAATTTACCTAAAAGTGTTACGACTGTCATTTCCTTACATAGTTTGGGACCATTTTGGCATTATAAAATTTTGTTGATCTATAGGATAATTCTGATTTATGGCTGTATAGTTTCCTACACAAAAAGCTTCGCCTGTTGAGGCGTAAGCTCGAAATTACATAGAAATATTGTAATCCATCTGGTCATTAAGAAGGCAAGAGGAAAAGAAAAGGCTGTTTAGTACATTGGAGGGAGGCGTGAGTTGAAGCCGTGACCTATTTCTTTTCTTCTGGTGGTTTCTTTATTTTCTTTTCTTCTGTTGGTTCTTGGCAACTAAACGCGGCATTGAAGCCTTTCAGTATAGTAAAACTCCTGTTGAAAAAACTATATTGATATCAAACATCTTAGTTAGCCCATTGTACAATATTGATATCATAAACCAAATTTTTAAAAAGAAAAAAAGAAAAAGGGTAAGTTTTATTATCAATCTTTGCCACTTCTTCCATAACCTTGTTTTTGTGGTGTTCTTGCTGCAGGAATCATATGTTGTGCTTGAGAAAGCAATCAGGTCCCTGGCCAGCTTCTACTCAAAGGCAGGTCCGTCAGCGCCGCTTCCAGAAGAAGTCAAGTCTGAAATTCTAAATGATTTAAACACTGCTGAAGAATTCTTGTAATATGACGATTACTTGTTCACTCGATCAACTTAGATGGAAAATTTTGCCATGCTTTTTTTTATATAATAAAAACTAAGCTTTTATTTATTTATTTTTTTCTCATGTCACTCTGGTATCAAAATCCCAGCAACCAAATATGTGGCTCATATCCAAAGGCCTAAGAAAACCTGCACACCATTGGAAACTGTTTTAACTCCAGTGCATAGGATCTGGATTCTCTGTTGCAATCTATGTAAGTTCAAAATTGAATTAAAATGATATTATTTTAAGGTGTGATTTTAATTTTAACCCCAAAATAAAATACACCATTTCTGTTAATAAATTCATCTGTGAAATAAAAAAATGAAATTAAAAAATATATTTATTTATTTATTAAATTCAAAATCCAAACATAGCAATTAAACAAAATAAATAAGGTAACTAGACATTACTTGTAGAAATGTTAGGCCTTTGGAATCAGTCTCATGCAGCAAGTTCAAGAAATGTTACAACACCTCACAAGTCCTAGCATACCAAACATTGGACCTTTCACAAGGAGCTTAAAAATGGCTGGTGCGAACAACAAATTAGTAGCAAATGAAGATCTACACATTACACTCTTTTATGAATATTTATTGTGAATGACATATATAATACAACATTGCTTCAGTTCTCTTAAGTTTCAAAATAACCTTAAATTAAATACAAGAGCATCTGGCTGCTCTCTTAAGATTCAACATTTTGACTGCCATTGCCCAAGTTGCATCAATTTTCGCTACATTGCACCAGCACTGCTCTAATGAACAATAATAGCTGCAAAATACAGGAAATCATAAGGATGAATCTCAAGTTGCAGATTTTAAATATTAAAATGACAGGTTACACATGCTACCTTATGGTTATAATTATCCACCTTCACCTGGTGATTCCAAAGTATCAAGTACGTGACAAAACGCCTTTTGAGCTGCATTATGGACAAGAAATTGTGTGAACTTTTAGATCAAATTCTATCTGTGTTGCAGGATTGCATGAAATCAACTGGACAGGGGAAAAGAATTAGTTGTACTTGATGCTTTCTTGATTCCTTATAATACCTATGAGCTGTGGTAACTCAGAAGGTTGGTGTCAACATTCATTTGCAAGAACTTGGAAAATTGTGATTCAATTTTAAAAAATGAAAGATAGAACACAAACACCAAAGAAAATCCTCATTCATGAAAGGATTGACTACATGAAAATATAAGTGTAAAGCCATTGGCAATGACTTTTGGAACCCCCCAAAAATGCTCATCATAACAAAGCTATTGATATTATAAAACAACCAAAACTTCTATACCGGCCATTTTTTAAAAGATAAAAAATATATATATATATATATATATGTAGTTGGGATTAATGGTTTGCTTGGTACTTTAGGTGCTTGAAATTCATGATATCTCTTTTAAAAAAATGTCTCAAACCTTGGCACTGTCCCATGACGACGTGGGTCATATTCTGTTGCTTGTCGAAGAGCTCTTGCGAAAGCCTTGAACGTTGCCTCAATTATGTGGTGAGAATTTCTTCCAGCAAGCTGTTATTTGAAAAAAATGAAGATATGACTCACAATTGATTAAAATAAAGAACTGGAACATTACATAACCATGTTAGATCATAAAAAGTTCTACAAGCTTCATGATGATGTGTAAAGTTATAGATTTCCCTCACATATACTAGAGATGTAGGCCAAAAGGTACCACATTGTGGCTGCTTGAGTTACATTTATAGTCTTTGAATTTTGTTTGTTTGGCGAAGATGGTGTGTTTTGTACACTTGTATAGATTTGGCAGGCAACACACAAATTTAAGCGAAAGATGACACAAAAACAGATTCTCCGTACAACCAGTGAAATTTATTGGCGTACCATCTCACCACACGTGCAACTAGACTTCATTGCACGTGCGGCCCACCACGCTCGAGCGGCCCACCTAAGGACACGTGCGCGGAATTTCAAGCCATTTTGGATAGTTAGGTTGCCATTCAGCAATCCGTGGCTGACCTCCGCACGGACTATTAGGCATATTGGAATTACTCTCAGACGGCATTCGACCAAATTAATGCCCGTTAGTTCGAGTATCAACAGTCAATTGCATCTATGCAAACTGACTTCTATGCATATCGGGAGTCGTGCCAACAGTGTTTTGACCAGCTTGGTGTGCGGGTTCATGATGAAGCATTCGAGACTCAGACGTTGATGCACGCCTTATTTGAGCAGTACTTTCCATCACCGCCTTATTTGATTAGAATCTGGCGGTGGTGAAAAGTACTACTCAAATAAGGCGTGCATCAACATTCAAGTCTCGAATGCTTCATCATGAACCCGTGCATTGAGCTAGTCAAAATGCTGCTAGCACGACTCCCGATATGCATAGAAGTCCGTTTGCATATATGCAACTGACTGCTGATACTCAAGCTGATGGGCATTAATTTGGTCGAATGCCGTCTGAGAGTAATCCCGGTATGCCTAATAGTCCGTGCGGAGGTCAGCCACGGATTGCTGAATGGCAGCCTAACTATCCAAAATGGCCTGATATTACGAGAGTGTCATGCGGAATAGTGGTGGCGCTGGCGCAGTGACAACCTTTGTCGGAACATCATTGGGGTTAGCCAGTGCATCAGGGATGATTAGTGGAGGTGGCAGGCGAGCAATGGTTTGCCGCCATTGGGTTTTGGCATAGAGCGGTGGCGACTAAAGCTGAACTCGATTTGGATCGAGTGGGTAATTCTCTTGGCTTTTGATGAGTGCTGTAATGAGGTTAGCAAAGGGGAGGGCCCATGTAGAACCGCCTCAAGTGTTGCGCAGTTTGACTTCATTCAGTATATGGATCATTTGGTTGAAGATCAATGTAAGGATGTTAACCCAAAACCCAAAGTCGAATCGATGCAAGGCGCGGAAGAAGTCCCCTCGCCGCTCCTCCTTGTGGCCTAGAGGTATTATTACATTCTTTTTGAGAACCACATCAATAAAAAGGAGGCGACGTGGCAAGTTAGCCCAACGAATATTGTGCGATTATCATCATCTTGTCGGCCCTCATAGAATTCAATCACTAGTGCCGAGATTATGAATTCCCAAGTGAACACTAGGAACTGCTCTGCATTGATAGTGTCCACTGAGTAGTTGAAAATCTCAGCAATGGACGCTGGTGTGACTGCTAACTCAACCCCGTCAACAATGGAAAGAAGGGCTCCCGAGGCCTCATCACTGGTGTACATGTTCTGATAAAACACTCGCACAATTCGAGGATATGCTGTTCAATGACGTTGTAGACGCTAAGTAGGCCCGATCTTCAAGTTGTTGCACACTCCAACATAGTGAGTTGGTGACACCAGAAGAAGGCGATGTCAAGGGTGTGTCAAATGCAATTTGTTTGTCGGCCCAGATGGCGGTTGGCACATCCCTACCTCCTATGTTGGCATTGCAAGGGCGTTTAGGTGCTCCGCAGGACGATCAAGCCATAACTGCACAAAATAACGTAACCAACACAACCAAAAATGTGGAACTATTATATTAGAACTCATCAAATATCGTATGCGTGCGCAAATCACTCAAATCCACTAGATTTCTGTTTTTTCAAGTTTCTCTCTCTTTTTTTTTTTTTTTTTTTGGAATACTACCCTAAATGAGTTTAGACTAAATTAGCAAGTGAGTTAAATTAGATGAAGTAACGTAATGAATTAAAGGAAAATAAAATAAATAACTAAATAAATAAAAATAAAAAATAAAAATGATATAAATAAATAAGTTAGTAGAGAAAAAGAAAAGAAAAATAAATAAATCAATAAATAAAATGAAAATGAAAATAAAAACAAAAACAAAAACAAAAACAAAAAAAAACAAAAACAAAAATAAAAATAAAAATAAAAATAAAAATAAAAATAAAAACTAAAACTAAAACTAAAACTAAATCACAAACCAACTAAACTAAACAACTAAATTAAAGTTAATAAATAAGAAACCACTAAATTAAACACTACATTAAAAATATAGGCACCCACAAGCTTCTTTACCCAAGCACAACCCAAAAACATTTCAAACCATTTCTACCTTCATTTCACATTTGAAATAAGTATAGCACTTCAAAAACATCTAAATGCTCAACAAAGGTATAATCTTCACGCGAAAATCACGGGTACTACTTTTCTCCCTAACCATGTTTGTAACTTTCCCTATTCTCCAACAGAGTGACAGACTAGGTACTAGGTTGATTTGGTATCCAAAATCGAGGCGCCTAAAGCTAACTCGACCTATGAGACTGCCATACAGAGTTTAAGTCGGGGTGGTTTTGAAGCAATCTCCACACCCCTGGGTATTTAAACTAAACTTTAGTCTCGGAAATTCTAAACCTTTGCGTTCTAGGTTTTGTCATTCGAAGTCTAGTTTCCACCGTCTCAGTTGGTCTCCTAGGAACTCACTACAAACACAGTTAAGTGATTATACCAAACGTCAGATGCAATTCGGGCACGGTTAACACTAAAAGAATTACATCTTTAAAGGATTTAAAGTCTCCTAGACATTAAGTACAGAATAGCAAGAACAAAAATCAAAATAGAAAGGAAAGAAAAGAGAATAAGAAATCCATGTCTCAATCAAAATAAAATGGGTCCATCAAAATAATGGACTCAATCATATCACCATTCTCAATCCCCTCTATATACGGTTTCAATCTTTGGCCATTCACTTTGGAGATGTGGCCATTCCGTGGATCTTGCACTTCAACGGTGCCATGAATAAATGCCTCGACGATCACAAAGGGGCCATCCCATCTTGATCTAAGTTTACTCGGAAAGAGTCTCAATTTCGAATTAAAAAGCTATACTTTTTAGCCGGGTTCAAATGATTTTCGATTAATGTGCTTATCATGAAATTCCTTAGCTCGACCCTTAAAAATTTTCAAACTCTCATATGCATCATTTCTAATCCCCACCAACTCATTGAGTTGCAATTTCAGGTTAAATCCAACGGTGGCCATATTGAAGTTAAACTTCTTAATGGCCCACAACACTAGGTGCTCAAGTTCAACCGGGAAGTGGCATGCTTTGCTAAACACCACCCTATATGGTGACATCCCAATAGGTGTCTTATAAGTAGTGCAGTAGGCCTATAACAAGTAGTGCAGTAGGCCCATAAGGCTTCAATCAAACGTTTTGACCAATCTTTTCTTTCTCTATAATGTGCTTCACCTCCCTATTGGACACCTCTACTTGGCCACTAGTTTGAGAGTGATATGGAGTGCCAACTTTATTAGTCGATATCTTAGTTGCATGAAGATATTGATGTTGTCATTAAAATACAAACCAGTTCAAAGCATTAGTTATTGTAAAACTTACTTGGCATGGGAAATAATGATGCAACCTTTTGGATTATTTTAAACAACCAAAGGTGAAAAAGTTTGTTTTCTGGATAAGTTTTTCTAATATGACCAAGCACTTTCCAGTTGGAAAATTGGGAGAAACAATTTAGTTTCAACCAAATATTTCTCTAGAAAACAATTTATACATAAATTTTTATTTTTTAATAAAACAAAAAGAGCCCAAGGGAAGTACAATATTTGGACCTTCCTCTCCAACAAAAAGTAAACGTAAATGAACATATTGTCAAATATCAACTTTCTTTAAGATAAATGAAAGAACATTTGAGCATTATCACCTGCCGGATGTGGAGTGTCATGCCAGAAGTATTGACCAAAGACTGAAAAAAGTGCTCCACCAGCTGTATATAACAAAGTTCCATAAATGTCTATTGAAGAGATGCTCTAAAAGAAAGCAGCAGAATGTGAACAAAATGACCAAGATCAAAATAGCAGTGTTAAATTGTCCTAAATTTTTAGTATAACATTGTCAAAGCCTGAAATATGCAAGCACATAATTGTTCATGTATAAGGACTTCAAGACAACCTCTATAATGGAAATATAAAATGGGCATTTTCAGATTACATAATGCAGACACTTGTGATATGTACAGTACACCCTTAATTATAAAAAATAACAAAATGATGTTCTCCCCCGTACAGGGATCATGGATGCATGGCAACCTAATTGTGCACTCTACCCCCTAAAGGAAAAATTTCAGCAACTAAAGGTGCCCAATATGATGTTCTCCAGATCAAGCAAGGGGATGTAATTGTGGATATTCTTCATTATTCATTATTCTAATCAATTAATTTGTGCAGGCATGCTATGCATTTTCAAGATGTAATACTAGCATTTTCATATAGTGTTCTAGAATGAAGTGTATAATTTTTTTTTTTCCTGAACATGAAAAGGATTAGATGACACATAGCAAATATCTATTGTTGTCCTGGTGCAATCCCTTCTAGCTCAGGGATCATACCAGGACAACAATAACAGATACAATTCACCAAAGTTACAAGCAAGTTACTTTATGAATCGATTATCACACACACAGCATGCGGAAAGGGTTTCATTAACTCTAAAGAGTTAGAAACAAATTGTAGAGAGGAAATAAACAAAGACAAATACACTACCTGAGTGTCATATGTTCCAACTCTCTCAGTAGGTATGCGTAAATCATAACTTAAATGCGGCCGTCCAGATAAATCCTAGATCAAGACAAACTGACAACATAAGCATATTTACCAAGTTTGAATAAGCATAAGTAAATGTCTTTAGAGTTCACAATAAACCATTAGAATAAGATAATGAGTAAACTGCATATGGCATATGCATCCCCTCTCTCTATGAAGCTCGGTTGGCATTGGTTGCACAGTTCCTAATCAAGTCTATATAGGAGTAGCCCACATGAAAGTAGTTTTGCCGTCATGTTATGATGGAAAGCTTCGAGCAAGCAACATCCTTGTTAGTCCTGGTATGTTGCATACTTGCCAGTTCAAGGTAAACTAGTTACAAGTAATCCATATCGTGTTAAAGAAAGTACCAAATGTAATCAGCGTATTTGGTTTCAGTTTTTTAAATTCAGTTTTTTGAAAATTGTGTTTTTTGTTTTTCGTGTTTTTTTTTGTTTTTAGTGAATATTTTTTAAATTTTAAGTAATTTTTTTACTTTTTTAGATGCACTTTACTCAGATGTATCTAAATAGTAAAATATTTGTGAAAAAATATTTTAAAAAATTAATAAATACACAAAATGTAAAAATGTATTGAATTTCATTTTTTTTTTTTTTTTTTTTTTTTTTTTTTTTTTTTTTACAACACATTTTTTTTTTTGGGTATTTAGCTATGAAGCACCTACACTTTCCTAGGGTTGGCGTACAAATGTCGGACACGTGTCGGACATGGACACACTGTGGACACGTGTCCGACACTCTCTCTAACGTGTCCTCTTTTTTTTTTGAATTTTTTCAGTTGGACACGCAGTAGACACGCGATGACACTTTCTGGACAAAGATTGAAGAACCCTAAGCTATTGGAGAGAAAGAGGGAGAGATTGATTGAACGAAAAAGCCCTAATCTGTTCAAAAGAGATGAATCGAAGAAGCCCTAACCTGAGGTAATTTTCTTCGTCTTCTCTATCCTTCGTCTTCTCTGCTCTACTTCCTTCTCTTCGTCTTCTTTGGTTCATCTACTCTGTTCGTCTTCTTCTCTGGTTCGTCTCTCTTTCTGATTTCACTCTATTCTTTTTACTTCTCTCTCCTTTTCTCCTCCCGTTTCTCTCCCTTCCTTTTATTTCCTGATTTCACTCTCTCTCTCTCTCTCTCTCCTCTTTTTTTTTTATCTTTTTTTTTTATCTTTATTTTTACTAAACCTAAAATTTATAGAATAAATTATTTTTATTAAAAAAATTAAGAAATATGTTTATTAATTTTATTATTATTAGAATTGTATAGAAAATAATAATTTTTTTTTAATTTTAGACATATAATAAATAAATAAAATTATATATATTAAACGTGTCCCCAGCGTGTCGTGTCCCCAATTTTTTTAAAATTTGCATGTCCACGCGTCCGTGTCGTGCCCCGTATCCATGTCCATGCAACATAGGTATTTAGTGTATTTTTTAAAGATTTTTTTCACAAATATTATACTTTTTAAGTGTATTTATGTTAGGCGCATCTAAAAATTAAAAAAAAATTGCTTAAACTATTTAAAAAAAAATCATTGAAAACGTTAAAATATGAAAAATAAAAAAGTAGAATTTTCTGAAAACTAAAACCAAACAAGCTGAATATCTCTACCAATTGTTCAAGGTTTATACAAAATGCCTGCCCGCATTTTCGACTCATACATTAAAAAAGGTCTTGATTGGCCAATTCAAAATTCAAAAAAACACATTTCACATGACTATACAGTACCATCATTTTTATTGCTGTTTAATCATATCATAAATATGACTAAAGTATGATATGTCAGCAACAAAAAAAAAAGTACACATTTTTTACAATTTTTGAGGGATAGTTAGTGCATAAAATTACCTGCAGAAGAAAAACAAACAAGATTTCCATTCATGTGTTGTTTTATTCTAGTGTGCTTTTTGAGATCTGATTATGTAATGCGTACGCATGATACTAAGTTTCATGCTAAACATCAGCAGTGACAATGCCAGTTTGGAAGTACTAATATACTACATAGAATACACTAAAGCACTCTGGTATTCAAGAATTGCTCTCAAACCACCGGAAAAAAAAAAGCACCAGATGAGCCCTTAGTGTGATACCATGAATTATATTATAGAAATCCATTGATAATCAATTCAATAAATGCTGGCAACATACCAGTGAAACATGTATTAGTGCTTCGTCAAGTGGAGCTGAGAAGTCACCAAAACGGTTAATTCCTTTTCTATCACGAAGTGCTTGGAGTAAAGCCTGCATTAACCAGTAAAGTTAAGTTTTAAGACCGAAAGTTTACACCCCGTAGGGAAGTGAATCAGTTCATTACTTCCTACATAACATATGGACATACAGTTCAACATGTGGAAAAAAGACAAAGAAAAGGCATCACCAAATAGAATGATATGGAATAAGCAATGAAAGCAATTCCTGTAACCCTACGATGATCCTTGATAAATAATTCTTAACAAAAATATAATATAACATCTCAATGCTCCTCCTCCTATCTAAAAAAAAAAAAAATTAAAAAAAAAATCTTAATGCTCCCAATTAGAAAGGAAATCGGTACAAATGGCATGGAAAACACATGTTAACTAATACAGCTTTGTGTTACATGCTAACACATAAAAGGAATAAAGATTAATCAATTGAACAAAAGACTTCAGGAGGTTACCGTTCCAATGGCAAGTGCAACATCTTCATTTGTGTGATGATCATCAATATGAATGTCACCAATAGCCTTTGCATGGACATCAAATAACCCATGTGAAGCAAGTTGCTGACATAAACCCAAAGAAAAGAAAAATAACACCAGCTTCAATATAGACAGCAGTGAATTGACTACCAAAAATAAAAAAATAAAAAAAAACAAAAACAAAATCCTGGCAAAGAACATTTCAATTCAACCTTCCAATTGTTTTCTGTGTAAACTAAGGGGAAAACAACAGAAGAATAAAATTTTACATAATAAGGCTATGATTAGATGTCAAGAATGAAGGCACAGAATAAGACATTCTAGGTCTACATTCCATTGTCTAGATATGTCCAACACATGGAATGTGATTTCATGTTACCATTCCAAGGAAGAATAAGATTGACAAACTGAGTTGGAATCTCAATCCTACACCCCCATGTGATTCTAAGAGTAAAATTTCATATGTGCGCCTATACTTTTAAAGGTAATCATTTTCCCATGAACAATTACTAACTAAACCAAATGCTTGAAAAGTATGAACACAAGAATCTTATTACTAAGAATGTGATACCACTTAAGTCGTAACAGGATTCCCATTCCGTCTCCTTCCTTATTGATTCATTCCATCCAAACATATCCGAGTATGTAAGCTTTTTTGGTTCCAAAAACTGAAAAAAATGAAAAAACTCTACTGAAGCCAATCCTTGGATAAGGCTCCATTTAATGGAAATTTTCTTCTCTCTTGGGAGAGAAAAGAAATGGAAAGATTATTAATTTTGTATATTACAAAATTGCCCATCTACCTACAAAAAAAATAAAAACATAAACGGTTATTTTGGTAAAATAATTTCTTTTCTTTCTTTTCTTTTCTTTTATGTAATCTATCCAAACAAGATTGGAGAAAAATCACTATCCTTTCTTTTCTTTTCTCTTCTAACTTAACATATCATTTCTTTTCTTTTCTCTCCTAAATAAATATCCAAACATAGTGTGAGAGCAATAAGATTTGAAATACTAATTTTTCTCTTTTCTCTCTACTTTCTGAGCAACCAAACAGAACATAAGCTTCTACTCGTCCTAATTCAATGGGGTTGTTTATTTATTTTTGAGTGGGAAATTCAATGCATGCATTCACTTAAATTGGCTAAAAAAACACACCTTTCTGCAGAAATAGAATCAATGTTCAATACAGAAAGTTGAAGTTATCAATGAGAGATACACTAACATCCAACATATGGTCAAGAAATGGAATCCCAGTACTGCAATCAGCAACACCCGAACCATCCAAGTTTATTCTCACCGACACATTGGTCTCTTTGGTAACCCTCTTCACCTCTCCGATTCGATCACCTACTTAAAAAAAAGTAAGTGAATAAAACTCTGTGAATTCTTAAAACCCTAAAAAAAGGGGAGCAGATTGAAGAGAATCGAAGTTAGGTTTTTTTTTTTACCGGTGTTGATCGGTGAAGATGTTGCCGGAGATCCATTCTCTCTACCGACTATGGCGGCGCGATTGATTGTTGTTCGTTGATCGTCCATTGGAGTGAGGCTGTGGCGTAGTTGTGTAGAGAGAAGTGGTGGGTGTGGGAAGCGAAATGGAATGAGGGTGATCTGTGAAACCCTAACCCTAGTTTTGAGTAACTGAGACCAAGAAGAAGAAGAGGAAGAAGAGGTCGGACGATGATAAGAGAGGGAATGCTTCATCTGTGTGAGCGAGCTGCCAAGACAGGCTTTTTGTGGATCAACAATCATTCATCTACTAAAAATATCACCACTAATAGTATTAATGTATTAAAAAAGTAAAAAAAAAAAATACAATTCCAAGATCAAAACATCACATCATTAATGACGGGATTCACTGTCACCTAATTAGTGGGAGCACTAATTAATGCTCCCAAACATTTTTCTTTGTGGATATTGTAATTTTATTCCTAAATTTAATTGATTGGGATGAATTAATTTGATTTTTTTTTATGGGTCATGCTACATCCCCTAAAAAACATCCCCCTAATCCCCCTAATTTCCATATTAAGTAAAGAAAAAAAAAAAAAAAAAAGAAACAGTTGCCAGAAATGAAAATTAGGGGGATTAGGGGTGAGGATTTTAGGGCTACAAATCATTTCCCTTTTTTTATATATATATGATTTCATACTTTTTATCAACTTGTGTAGATGAATCTGAGGTGAGTTTAGAAATTTAGGCCCGTTTGTTTGGGTTATAGGGAGGGGAATGAGATTGATAGTGATATGAGATTATTATATGAGATGTTTGTTTTGAAAGATATGAAGAGGACTCATAATTCCTTGGTATTAGTAAAAGTTTAATCTGAAACATTTAAATCATTAGTCCTTTTTTTAATCAAATCTTTAAAAAAAATTAAACTAATTCTAAAAACATATTTTAACTATTTTTTATTAAAGAAAATTATTTTCAATCCTTATTCTTAAAATTTCATCACATATAACTTTATCAAATTCAAATTTGATAAATAAATTGATGAAGAATTGAATATACTCATGCAGCAACTACTATGATTGTTGCCAAAATTAGGGGTGGGCTCGGGTTGATTGTAGCCACAAAATCTTTAATCCGTCATCCATTTGTTAGATTAGCAGATTGAAAAAAATCAATATGCATTCATCTGACAATTCAGCAAATGTGGATTGAGCGGATTGGCGGATTGACGGATGGATGCGAATTAGTTTGGCTGTTTAAAATTTTATAAATTTTCAACATAATTCAACTTGTGCACTTCCTCAAAAAAAAGTTATATATATTACAGTTATTGATTTAAAAGTATTACAATCACTGCATGCCTCATCCAAAGAAAAAAAGTTTGAAACTTTAGAATATTACAATCACTGCATGCTTCATCCACATATTACAATCACACTATGCCTCATCCACATAAAATATTACAATATGCGGTTCTCAAAATATAAAAACAATTCAAACCATCAAAACCATGAATAAAGCAATAGTAAAGATTGTATGTCTTTGTATTGTTACATCTATATTTTTTTTTTGAAAACAAAAACTATGCAGCATACACCATCTTTTTTATTTATTATTTTTAGAGTTAGATTTAAAAACAAAAAAATATAGATAAATAATAAATTTATTTATTTTTTAATTCAAAAAATACATTCAAGCTGAAAACTCTTTTTCAATATAATATATTCAACAGAATATTTAAACTTTTTTTCAATTGAAAACATAAACAAAATATCTAAACAAATTGAAAACACAAATTCTTACAAATTATTAGGGGTGGTCGCGGTTTGGCGGTTCGGTTGCGGCCAAAGAAATCTCAAATCCGCCATTCGTTCAAAACTAGGCGGATTGGAAAAAATAATCTGCAACCTCCAAAATGCAGCGGATCGGTTCGATTAAGTTGATTTTGGCGGATCGGTATATCCCCTACTCACTCCTAACGAAAACTTTAGAAAGCAACCCATCAAATTATTATTATTTTTTTTTGTCAGTGGCTTGCCTCCACTTCACCATATAGGCTGGAGGGTTCAGTCCGGCCCATTGAGCCCATTTTTGGACCCTTTTTCAATAATCCGAATCGTTGATATTTTAAGGTTTGTTGGGTATATGATTATTGTAAAAAATCACGTCAATCGGATAACGAATACCATGTATTCGGATCACTTTTTTATGAATTGTTAATTTTTCGACCGTTTATTTTTTTTGTAGACAAAAGTGATCAAAATACATAGTATCTGTTATTTGATTGATATGATTTTTTACAGGAATAATGTGCTAAACAGACCCTAAAATGTGAATGATTCGGATTATTAAAAAGGGATCCAAAAGTGGACCCAGTGGGCCAAACTGGACCGAACTGTCCCAGATCTAAACTGGAGACAGTCCAGGCTCTTTTGTTTTATTTTTTTTTTTTTTTGCCTCTTCCATTCACAAAAAGAGATAAGCTTCCTTCCGTACCTTCATCTCTCCATATTTCTCCATACTCCTCTCATGGGCTTCAATTCAGACCTGCACTGATGATCTGAACCGTTTATCTCTTAAATTTCGTAATAAAAATCGTCCATGCCAAAAATGAACTTCATTAAAAAATTATAATGTTAAGAAAAAATCATATTTTGTTTTATAAGATAAATGACAATGTGATTGTAAACTTAAATTATGTATTTTATAAAATAAAATATTTTTTTGTCCTATATTTATAATTTTTCAATGAAGCTCATTTTTTGCATAGATGACCTTTATTACAAAGCTTATGAGATAGATGGTTCAGATTATCGGTGTAAGTCCGAATTAGAGCTCACAAAAAAGGTATGAAAAAATGAAAGTATTGAGAGACGAAAGTATGGAGGGAGCCTACCCGTCAAAGGGGGCCCAAGAACCATTTTTGTAAGGATGTAAATTTGGCCTGGTTTGGGCTGGCCCATGTTAGGCCTCGCGAATTCTCACCAAAATTTGAACTGAGTCAGACCATAGTCCAGAAAATTAAGCCCAAGCCCAAAGGGTATTCATGCCTCGAGCGGACTGGGCCAGGCTTGGATAGGATTTGAACATTTTTAAAAAAAAAAATTCTATTTTTTTTTCATCAAAATTTTATTTTTTTTCACAAAAAATGACATCGGGCCTCGAGTAAGCCGGGCCTCAGGCCAAACTTTGAGTGGGCCTTGAGCAGGCCGGCCCGGACTTCAAAATGATGGCTCAAACCCAAGATCCCAGGCTAAGCTCGGGCCCAAGCGTAATCAGGCCAGACCCACTTCGAACCACGGGCCATTTTTACACTTCTACATTTTTTTGCACGTACCATTTCCATCAACAGCTAGTAAATAGCAAACTTTGCAACACAGATTCATGTTGTCATATGTAACCGACACTTTGATCACAACCAAAAACAAGAGGGGCTAGAAAGCCAGATGAGTTTGTGCTTGAATGAAACTGAATTACACATGGCAATGCTCATATATATATCATCTAAAGAAGCCAATCTAGTAATCACATTCAGACACATCTACAGATATTGGAGACACTACACATTGAAATTTCTCATCAAATGCATTGTCAAAACTTTATTCCATTCACCATTGTCATGATAATCATTCATCACACAAGAAAGCTAAGCTTTGCACATTTGTACTCAACATAAACACTGCAAATGGCACCTAACTAAGTTCCCCAAAAAAAGGAAAAGAAGAGCAACATAAAGAGAATAATTTATACTCGTTCCCTGTAAAATCAGCATCTGCAACAACTAAAACTTACATGAATAATGGTGGGAGTTCCAGGACCTACAAAGGAAGGACCTATCCAAGAATTTCATTCCCTCTGTTATGTGAAACACCCAAATTACCATAAACAAATGACACATTACAAGACCTTCAAACTCAGAAAATGAAGACTCAAAATCTAACTATATGTACACAAGAAAGCTAATTAGCAGAGTATCCATCTACCAAACTCAACACACGTCACAGAACAGTTTAACTAACCTCCAGGTATAACATTACAAGGCAGGGAACTTCACCTTTGACTTTATGTAAACCACAGCGAGGACACATTCGAACCTCTTCAAACCTTCTGGAAAAGAGAAATGTTGTTGTGCACTGTCTTGGACCAGAACCCCGAATTTTATATTTAACATGTCACGTTTGTTTCCCTCTGAATTATGGCATTTTAATGGTACCATCTGAAATTGCAACAGACACCATCAAAACCACGTATATAAGCGCATTCCAACACTTGTAATGAATGGAAAGTATTTTCAGAGACACAAGCATGGCTATCAAGATCATATCAGCCCCTCGATATGCAAAAGGCGCACGTTAAATATTTCTTTCGCAATCCATTGCATCAGATGCGACTTCTGAATCCACACGTCCTTCGGTTTCCATCTCAATTGCACTAGGATGATTCTGATCAGATTCAAGCTGAACAGTACTGCCATTGGATCCATCAAAAGTTGCATTCTCTGCAGAGGTTTCACCTGAAGAATTGAGAACAGGTTCAACAGAAGAAATTGAGACATTTACCTCATGAGCCTCTTTACCCACATCGTCCTCTGCACTAGGAAGAATATTTCTTCCAACTAGAGCAACTTCTTCATCAGACACCACTTCTGAAGCTGCATGTGAGTTGCTTTCCACCTCAAGGGCACTCTGCTTGTTCAAATCAGAATCGAGTTGCATGGCACTCTCATCAGAACCATTAAGCATAGAAACAGCAGCATGATCCTGATCTTCATTAATGTCTTTATTCTGGGCAGAAATTTCACCAAAACAATCAAGACCAGGTTCAACATTAGCAACTTTGCCATTAACTTCATGAGTACTCACTGCAGAAGACTCAATATTATTGACTTGTAAAGCCACATTTAATTTGCTTTCAATTCCAAGTCTATCCAGCTGATTCAAATCAGATGCAATACAGTCATCAGTACCATGAAGAGAAGATACAGGAACCGGATCATGGTTTTCACTGATTTTTTCTGTAGTATTCTGTGCAGAAATTTCACCCAAAGAATCCAGACTGGGCTCGGCACAAGAAACTTTCACCTTTGCATGATGAGCATCGTGCTTATAACCCTCGGCATTAGACTCGATGTTACCTTCTGCAGGTTGAGGACTCAATTCAGAGTTGGATTGCTTCGTATCCTCATCAGTTCCATTAATAGCACAAGCACAAAGAGGATTTTGATCTCCCTTGATTTCCTCAGCAGTATTAATAACCGAACTTTCACCAAATAAATCAAGAACGGGTTCAATTACAGCAACTTCGACATTTGCTTCTTGAACGGTATTGACAACCCCTTCCTCCGAAGAATTACCTTTAACAGAAGGATCTAATACAGGATTTTCCTCATCACTGGACTCTTTTACTGGCTGAGACTCACTCAAGACATTGAGTTTAGGTTCAGAAGGAACATCCAAAGAAATATCCAACCGTACACTGTCATGTAAGGGAAGAGCTGGGGCTTGCAAACCAGAATCTACAGCAGCAGCTTTGTCATCTGTCTCATCAGCATTGTGCAAACCAGCAGGATTTTCCTCATCAGTTGACTCTTTTACTGACTGAGACTCACTCAAGACATCAAGTTTAGGTTCAGAAGGAACATTCAAAGAACTATCCAACAGTGCATTGTCGTTTGAGGGAACAGCTGGGGCTTGCAAACTAGAATCTACAGCAGCAGCTTTGTCATCTGTCTTGTCAGCATTGTGCAAACCGGCACCGTCACGAATGTTGAGATCATGCCCAACAGAGGAATCCACATCATCTTTTTTTGTTAAATCAGGCATAAGATGATGATCCTCTTTGATTGGAACAGGCTTTGCATCTAAAGCAAACCATGTATAAGAAATAAAAAATTAAAAAATAATAATGTTATAAATGGACTTCAAGGCAGGGACAAACAATTGCAATAAACAGAAACCTGAGTTAGCAGTAACTTTTCCCTCGGTGGTTTTTAGTTCCCCTAACAGCTTCTGTAACATATCCGTACCAGGAAACACCAACATATTCACGGACCGCATCTCTTGCTTTTGTGACTCCTCAAGTGGATAGAAGCCAAAAACTACAGTCCATGTATGCATGTGCTCAGCAATGGCAGGAATAATCAATTTCTCAACTTTCAGAGAGCCGAGGGCCTGAGAATAGGAATATCACGATGTAAATCTTTGGCATAAAATGATTAAAAATTAAGATACAATCTACAGTGAAGCTATAGATGCTCTGACAATGAATTTTATTAACTCAATGAAAATATAATACAAAAATATTTGTACAATGTGTCAGGCGAAAATTCAAGCATAACCAATAAGAAAACTTTTACACAACATTACCGATTCAATGGCGCAAAAAAGCCGACGGCACATCCCTTGGCGCCTATATATATGGCGTGTCCCAATGAATGGCATCTCTGCTAGTTGGGTCCCATGGATCCTGATCAGAAAATAAACAATAATTATTAAAATCATTTGCAATGATAATCAACAGATTTTAGTGAGCAACGACAAACAAAGCATAAGTAGCAAGATCTAACTTGAGAGGATCTGATCTATGGAAATTGAATAACAAATAAAATGATCTAGCTCAATAGTTCAACCAAGCTTAGAAAGGAAAAGAGAAAAAAAATCAAACATCCTTTTATGGTAAATGACAAAGATATGTTCAAATGCAGCATTCTTGAGTGTGAAAAAACACGAACAAGATTAAAAATACAACATAGTTCCGAAAAATGAGCTCTCTATTTGCAAGTTCTAAAAAACTTTGTTTGCATCATTATTTTCATTTTTTTCCTCTCAAAACTATAGTCTACTTCACAAAATAAAAAATTGAAATTCTCCATGCAAAAGAACAGGCCACTAATTTGGAGAATCATAAACTGGCTTTGAAAACACACACACATACGCAAACCAAATAACTTCCAATATAGCAAGAACATAAGCTGCTTGTGGGTTAAACTAGGGCAATCATCCAATGCCAGGCTGGCTAAAGGTAGCTAACCAAATATTGATGTCTGCTTACCAAACCATTGAACACATGTCTTATCTCTCAATATGTACAATTAATCTGCGCTATGAAGGCATGAACTTGTGACATGCTAAGATGTGGGAGAAATGTGGATGGTAAAGCAAAAATATCCTCTTCTAGAGATATGACTGCCTCTTCAGATCCAAAAGAGGGGACCCCTCATCATTTTTGCTAATATATTTATATCATCAGTTTAGTTTTTCCAAGAGGAAGAAATACAGTACGTGCTATTTTTACGTCCACAGAAAACTGCATGAAATGATTAGCTGCATATGCAACACATAGATGACATGAAGCTGCAAGGCAATATACCTGATGGATGCAGCAGCAATGATTTCATCACCCCTCTCCAAAATGACAGTATAGAAGCCAGTATAGTTCAGCCGACTGAAGTTTGATCTACAGAGGAAATAAGCAAATCATGGAGTAATTAGTCACAGATAAAACACATACACAAATAACTGTATGGCAGTTTAAAATGGAAAAAAATAAAAAATATAGTGACCACTGTAAGTTGATATAGTTAACTAGTACCTACATAAGCTCAAGAAATTATACAAGATCAATATTGGAAGCCAAACAAGCACATGGAAGATACTGTTCACAAAATTGCAGGTGTAGAAGTCACAAAACAGGATAAAAATAAGACACAAAATATGATAGCATTTACAAACTAAAATAACTAAACTAGTCCCAAAAAAAACATAAAAGACAGGGAAAAACTAACATTAACATAGATACATAATCACAATACATCCTCAGAACAGCTGTTCAACTAACTGAACACAATCTCCTGGATAATAATAATAATTCGTACACACGTGACTGTACAAAAGCAACAAAGAAAAAGACAAACAAACATTTTTCAACTCACACAAGCATCGTTTTAACATGCACAAAATACAAAGTACATTATTAACTAATGCATGCCTCAGATGACTGCTTCAATGAAAGAAACTTGCTTAGCAAAGTGTAACATAGAATACCAAAAGCAAAGTTGCATGAAAGAAGATTAGAGGCATTTGTGTACAAAACTTCAATTCCAACCTAGTATAGTTGACAACTGCTTACCCACAATTATAGACAACATTATGGATCAAATTGACCCCACTCCTCCTGTCAACAATAGGCAAAAAGCACTCATCCATAACAGAGAGTGCGACAGCTAGCTTAGAATTGCATTCCACCCTCTGTGAATACCCACGGTGTGATGCATCTGTGTCCAGATCAGTTCGATGAATTAGAGACCATGAGAATCCCGCTTCCAATTCATGTTTGACCCCAAGAAGCTTCTGTAAGTGGTCAAAGAGCTGCAAAAGTAGAATGATTCAGATTCAACTAATTTCCTTCTGACATGAGATACAACACTGGCATCATAGGAGTAGAAAAAAACACCACCAAAAGTAACAAACTGACTAGTTATCAAAGAGAACCATGCAACAAAATTGAAACTAAATCAAATAGCAAGTAGACACTGATTTTCAAATTGATTAAAAGCCTAAGGTGAATTCTAACAGTACAACTTGTCTATTAATTGTCTTTTGCCATTTTTATAGCAATCTCATGTGAACAAACAATGTAAGAGTTGATTAATACAAAACTTCACAGCCTTATACTTTCACAACACCACTAAAGTGTACATAGATTGCAAACCCCCAAACTATTTTATCTATCAAACGAGGACCAAAAAAATCACAATACCAACTTAATAACCACTTTATTCCGGGTTGGATACTAAGCGTTCGAATCCTATGGAAAAAAGTGAAGCAAATCATATGCATAAAAGTGAACCGTACTAAACCCAGTAGTTAACATTGAAAACTTAACAGACATGGGGGTGCCTGGCTATTTTTAAAAGACGGCGGTAAAAAGCCCCAAGGCCATCACACATGGGGGTCAAATGGATTTTGCCCAAATCTTTTTTTTCAAAAAGGTAATAACAATAATAATGCTTTATGTAACCCATATGACATTTCATTAATCAACACAACATTGAAAACTTAACAAATCGGACAAAATAACAATACCTCTCGGCACTTCTGCCCACAAAAGGAAGTTGATGCACCATTTGTATCAGCAGGTAAAGCACCTATCTCCTGGCTGCAGGATTCATGATCTGAAACAGACAAAAGCTCACCTTCAGGCAAATTCTAACATTTGAACAAAAAATACAAGGGGAAAGAGCATTGCACACAAACACAAACTGCAAATTAAGGAGAGGTTAGATAACTACATTTTTTCTCACACAGGCTGCATGTGAGAAGCGCACTGACAGTTGTATAATTTCCCTGGGCACTAATCTCACCGGCAATCCCGCAAAATTTGCACGTACAGTTGGGGCAGTGCCAATCACCTGGCGGAAGCATCTGAAACAACGATAAAGATGTAAATAAACAAAGTCCTAATGAAGCAAAAAATCATACAAATCCAATTCTACAGGCAGATACAGAAATAAAGCACAATAGTTTAACAAGCACGACACTACCACACCAACTTTGTTGCCCACCACTTCTGTAGCAGAAATCTCAACTAAATAACTGTAATGCCAAACGTTTCCGCTAATGCTCTATTTGGTTCATTTGAATGAGAAGGAATGGAATGGTGATTCCTTATGCTTTCTTATGGAGTGATCATTTCTTTAACTTAGGAAAAAATGATTCCTTTTGTAATGCATTTGTCATTATATTTTTAGTCTAACCAAACATGAGAATGAATATTTTGATGGAATGATCATTCCATTCCGGTTCATTCCAATGAACCAAACACTATCTAAATGCTCCATTTGGATAACTCACACAAGACAGTAGCCATTCAAAATCAACTGATCACAGTAAACTTCCAGTGTCCAAAAATTTAACGAAGCTAATGTAGCAATTGAATCATCCTAATTTGAAACATTTAAGATTGTTGGCATCTGACAAGAAAAAACAATCTAAATCTGGATTCCCTTCTGTTTTTTCAACTCCAGGGATGAATCCAAAAAGAAATCTTTATTGGATCTACCTCCTATTTTTTAATGAATCTTTTTATCTAAGGATAAAAAAAAAAATGGGTCCAGATCTCCTGCGGAAATGATTTGGAAGATCCAAAACCAAACATAGCGGTATTTGCTAGCAACAACATAATGGAGGCAGTCAATCAATATAGATTGATCTGAAATCTGATTCAAATCCAATATAGCACCTATGGGTACATAAGAAATGTATTGAATTGATTCTTTTTAATGAATTGATCCGATCGCAACTTCAAATATGGAATACACCACCTTTTTCTCTCCTTTGAATAGAGGATATGGTAATCTTTCTTGGGTTTCTCAGTCTAAGCAGGAACCTCCCCCCTTCTTGTGTACAACGTACATCGTTACAAAAACTCCCAAAATTCTGTTTTAGTGTTCAACTTCATTTGTACATTTCCGCCCTTGGACTCCAGCTATATCCTCAATTACAATTTGAAAGTAAAACATTTAAAAGGTAATACAGTGTTTTTTTTAGACAAGGAAAAATTGCATAACATATCGGCATTTCTCTCACTTGCATAACATTTAAAAGGTAATAGAGTGTTTTTCCATACAAATAAAAATCATATACCATATCAGCCTTTCTCTCACTTGCATAACTAAATCCACTCATTTTTACACATGTTGCATGATTCTTTAACCAATACATAGTACTTTTCTCTCCTTCGGCAAATTCCTTCCAAGTTTTGAGTCTCAATGTTTCAGGTAATTCTCTTCATCCACTAGAAGTCTAAGGTACAACAATAAATTGTCCCTCCAAATCATATCCAAGTTAACATGCATGCATTCCTATAAAGCAATAAAAATACATACATAAAAATCTACATATTTACCATGAGAAAAAGATCCAATGGCCCAAAAGATTATAGGGATGGCAATCACAAACAGTTAATTCAATGTTTGTGTACACCACCAAAATATGACCCAAAGGTACATTTGCTATGTGATCAAGTATATATACCTCTATATCTAAGCAGCTCTGATGAAATGTTGATGGACAACCATCACAACAAATCAAATCCCCACCATCACCGCAGAGGCCACAAGTATCATCATTTGGATCATCGCCATCAGTGTCCACAGTGTGAAAACCAAAGCGTTCGGACTCGTCTTGTCTATTCCATGCATCTATCTGACATTGCAAAAGGGAAACCCCAGACTCCAAAAATATGTTTTGGAATGGCTGACGCAGTTTGCTTCCAGCATGAATCTCAAACTTTGAAACTGTGAGGATTTTGCTACAGCAACCACAATGTACACCATCTCTTGTAATCCAACCCTCTAGTATTACCCGTGTTCGTCTACGGTTCATGTACTGCACTTTTTCACTTAACTGCACCGTTCCAGAGTCAATTAGCCATGAAAGCAGGGTTCTTTTTCCCGTATATGGAACACATCCGTCACTCTCCGAATTCAGCCCCTTGTCAGAACTGCGAACCAACAAGGTACATCTGCCAATTTTTCGACTTTTTCTTCCTTGAATCATATGAAAATTGGTCGCAGAGGATGGTTTTTCAGCCTTGTCTTGCTTGGGTGATCCCTTGTTTAAATTACCACTTGAATCATCTCCACTCGCATAAGATCTCCCTTTTGGTGGCTTGCCATTCTGCTTCATGAAGAAACTTAGTTTGTCATCATCATTTTCACCGTCCGTGCCTTCTGAAGACTCTTCCCTTGAAACTTTTTTAACTTTCTTACTTCTACCGTGATCTCTTCGCTTCAACTTCATTTCCTTCTCAATCTTCTTCCTGGTTTGCCTAGTTAATTTACTAAGCATCTCCTCTGGTAACGGAGTAAAAGAAGAGCAGTCCCCACTAGGTTTTATGTCAACATCTTCTTCATCCAATTGCTTTTGAAGCGCATCGTAAGCCTTAATAATTGACCAATATGCTGTTCCTGAGGGACTAATGTACACTGCATCTAAGTAGTCTCTGTTCCTTCTAGGTCTATAATCAATCGTCCAGCCAGCTTTCACAAGCATATCCCTTATCTTCTCACGCAGCAATTGCTTTTCTGTGCCACTACCACGGTTAATTTTAACTTCTTTCCCTCTAACAGGAGTGACCTTTTGAGCTGATGGAGCTTTCCCTTCACTTTTTACCCCTTTCAAAGAGGTATGAGCTTGCACACTTGTTGATCCCAGCTTCAATGATGCATCACAATCCTTTGTTTCTGAATTGCCAGCCTTAGCACTCTTAGACAATGAATTTTGCAGTTTTAGCTCACTCTTCTCTGTCTTAACAAATGACATTGCTTTATCAGGACGTTTTGAATCCGAGTAAAATGAAGGTCTGGCAGATACATTCTTCTTGATAGCATTTTCAGACTTAGAACCCTTTCTATCTCCAATTTCCAATTTATGATCAGTGAATTTGTGGGGCAGATCCATTTTCTTCTTTTTGTTTACCATCACCTTCAAAACACCGTTTTTCCCCTGCAACCTGATAGGCTCATCAGACGATACACGAAACTTCTGTTTCAAAGACGAAATGGGTAAATGAGCTTCATCATCCTCTGTCTCGTACCTACTCTTACCAGTCCTTCCCGACGAGTTACTTCTACTATCAACATGAGAATTCTTTCCCTTATCAATCATGACATGTCTACTAGACCCAGTTTCAAATTCCCTCTCACTCCCACCCCGTCCTGTAAGCTTAAACCTATCCTGCGAAAAATCCATCCTCATCCTCTTTCCATCAATTCCATCATATTCATCGAACTCAAACACATCTAACCTTCTCTTCTTATCACTCTCAATTTCACCATTCCTACCAAGTTTGCTATCTTCTACAATGTCTTTTCGATACACGGCTGAACCATTATGAAATTTATCAGCTCCAGAGACAACTTTCCTCCGAATTGGCTCTAACGACTCCGAATCACTCGACTCTGATTCACTGACAACCAAACGCGGCCTTTTTCTCTCCTTATTCGATTCAAAAACCTTTCTTGACCCTGAAGACCCAACACCAACCCCTCTCTTCTTTATGATCAAACAACCCGAAGAATTCTTCTTCTTCACCAAACCCCCACCAGATCTCACCCTCTCTTCCATATCAATCAATAGACCTAATCAAACCCCCCAAAATTTCAATCAAATCAACACAATTTTGACCCCTGAATTGACCATCAAAAACCCATAATCTCCTCCCAAACAAACATTACCAGATCTGAACCAAAACAAAAAAAAAACCCTAAATTTTTCAGGAAAAATCAAGAACATCGAATCCTTACCTCGCCGGAGAAAAGCTGTGTGATCGGACCATCAACGAAGGACCGGCGAGACTGTCTCAATCGGACACGAAAATTCAAGGCGAATCGAATCCGATCGCAGATTGAATAGAGAGAGAAAGTTTCTTCTGGGTTTGTAGAGAGAGAGAGAGAGAGAGAGAGAGGAATTGGGAGTTTGGCTTGCAATTTGGTCCTCTGTTCAGACCAGACCTGTGTTGTAACTTGTTTTTATTACAAAAGAATATTATTGCAATTTAGTTTTTTATATTTACATTTTTGTAATCCTCTCTCTCTCTGGTAATTTATTTTTCGTTAATATTCCCTCCAATTTTGTGTCTTGAGGGTGTCAGAACGGTAATAACAAATAACTGTTTTTTTAACTTATTTATTGAATATATTACAAATGAGATTTACTTTAAAATATGGTTTATTCCATATAGTTTTTGAAATTATAAATATTCTCTCATCACATTTTTTTACTAAATTAATAGAAAAAAAAATTAACTACTCTCCTGTTACATGAATTATTAATTTAAATATGTTTATAATATTGTTAAAAACTATTAATTAATTGATAATTTATTAATAAAATGAGTCAATTGTTATTGTTATGTTATTAGAGATTTGAAGAGTAAATATATAATTTTTGTAACCATAAAAAACAATTCATATTTTAAACGAATCTTAAGAATTGCTCTGTTTGTCTTGAAATTATGTAAATTTAGCTCCTTTTTGCAAAAAAATAATTTGATTAGATATTGTTGAATAAATGAATTGTAATTTAATTAGAAACAATAATAACTTTAATTTGATTATTGAAGACAGTTAATGAAAGGGTAAAAATTAATTTAAAATTGAATAATTTACTCGTAAAATTGCTATTATTAAATAAATAGGAATGGAATTGACTTTTGAGTGATAACTGAATAAGGCAGTGTTTGGGAAGAGGCTAAAAAGGCTAGTAAAATGATTTTTATTTTTATTTTTATAGTGACATAAATATTTTATGCTTCATTTGGGTTAGCTAAAAAGGTAACTTCAAAAACTAATGTTAAAAAAATTATTTTGTTGGGGCACATGTCAAAAACAAAAATTTTCAGGTGGTTTGGCACTAATTTTTTTAAATAGTTTTTTGACTTTTTAAAATAATAATAAAAGATTTGATGTGTTTGAATTTTTTTTAACAATTTTTTTCTTCTTCTTAATTTAGGATTAACTACACTTTGTAACCCTTGTATTTTAATTTAAAATTTATTTTAGTTTTTATAGTTTTAAATTGAACAGTTTGATCTCTATATTTTAAAGTTAGTTTCAATTTGTTGATTCCATTTAAGTTTTTAAGATCATTTGGAGGATTCAATACCTAATCTAGAGGTCATGACACTCTCAAACATAATAGAACAGTTGATTTAGAGGTCTATGTAGCTGTCCTTTGGAATAATGAGAATATGAGAGGTTCAAGATTCTAGTCGATGGAGCGATTGTAGTCATTTCATTATAATATAACTTATTAACCTCCTAACATCTTATTGTATGGCAAAAAAGAGACTTTCAAACAAATTTTCTAATACTGTGTTTGGTTGGGAGATTTAGAAATGAAAAAGAAAAAAATAGATGAAATATAAATAAAATATACCCCAATTTCACCTAATTTTACACACATTTTCTCTTTCATTTTCTAAATCCCTCTCTAAATTTCCCAACCAAACATAGCATAATGGGATGTCATGTTATCCGACCTGGGACACCAATTAAAAGAAGGGAAAAATACAGATCAAATGAAACTTTCAAAAATAATTACATGATAGTAAAAAATTTATAATTACAATAATTAAAATTTATAAATTTTATCATTAATTTCAAAATTTTTTTCCAACCATCAACTAATGGGTTATTTTCAATCTCTCAAGGTGGGTCTAGGCCCCCCTACTGTCATGGCTTAATTGTGAATTAACATTATTCAAACTAGTAGTGAGAAACCTGTGCGGTCTACGGTGAGAAATATTTAAAATTTATTTTTTATTTCCTATGTCCCTCCGCAGCAATGTTTTAAATGAAAAAGCAGTACAAAGATAATAAGAATTGTGATACAATATAATTACTAGTATTTGAATTATGAATGTTAGACATTCTTTTAAAAAGATACATGCATGCTTCAGACCAATCAATTTTAAATCTATACTATATATAATAGAATGTAGTGCTGCTTCAAAAGGCTTCAAAATGTCATTTTAAAATTCTTATAAATTTGAAAAATACGTGACAACTCTCTTTTGAATTTATTCCCGTTTGGTAGAATTGTGGGAAAGTGATTATAGATTATAATTTAACAGATTATAACTTACAGTTGTGAACATAAATTGATAACCTGTTTGGTGTAACTGTGGGATTATAGATTTAAGTAGTAGAGTAGTGTTTAGTAAATAAGCTGTAAAATAATTTTTTACTGTGTAATTATCATTTTTGACCTTATGAACGTTACAATTAATATCAATTAATATCCATGTATTTATATTAATGTTGTAATGTCATTACATATTATTTTTCTTTATATTAATTTCAATTATTAATTATAGAAGTTAAAATATTCATTTTTTTATTTCATTTAATATAAATTATTTCATTTTGTATTTTAGTTTTTTCTTCAATTTTAATTTAAAAAAAAATTGTGATTATATTTTCATTAATTTTAATATAACAATTGTGATCCCATTTCTTAATTTATTCTTGTGTTTCCTTATCTCTTTTTTTCTTTTCTTCTCTAATTTTTTCTTCTTCTTTTTCTTCATTTTATTTTATTTTATTTTTTGCTCTTCTCTTCTTACATTAATTATATTCATGTATTTATATTAATGTTGTGATTTCATTACATATTATTTTTTTATATTCATTTTAGTTTATAAATACATTAATATTTATTAATATTTTTTTAATTTAATTTATTATCAATTAATGGCTACTTAGTATCAATTAATCCTAAAATTATTTAATTTTATCAATTAATATAAAACTTATTTCATTAATGGCTTAATTATTTAATTCATTAAACAATTTTAATTTAATTTATTTTTCTCTTCTTTCTTTTTTTATTTTTCTTCATTTTACAATAATAGCAAACCTTAGCCATCGCCGGTAGCTCTAGCGTTTGCCTCTAGTTCAGATCGCGATCGATTATGATGGGTGTGGTTAGGGTTGTCGATCGCGAGCTCTGGTTTGTCACCGTTTGATCGTCACGCCATCAATGGCGAGCTCTGGTTCATCGATGGTGAGCTACGGATTTGCCCTTCTGGTTTGTGAGAGAGAGAGAGAGAGAGAGTTTTGCCCTTCTGCGATGGGGTTTTGCCCCTCTGGTTAGGGTTTCAGATCACAAGAGAGAGAGAAGAGATAACGAAGAGAGAGAGAGAACCAGAAATCACCCCGTCGCCGAAAATCCCCTTCGTCGGAAATCGCCTCTTTGGCTCGTGTGAGGGACAAAAATAAGTGTGTTTTGGTTTATATACATGGCACACTTGTAATAATTTGAAATTCTGAGGGGCATTTTAGTCATTTTACCTTTCACATCTTAGCTGCGCGCTTAAGCTGATTTTTGACTTATAAATTAAGCTTCTCCTCCCCCACTCAAAGAAAAAGTTAATTTTTAACTTATAAAAAACTATAATCTATATTGTTAAGCTGAACCAAACACATCAAAATAGCTTAAATTAAGCTAAAAACTGGAATAAACTGGAAATAAGCCCTACCAAATAGGACTAATAACTCTTTTCCTTCCCTCTCAAAGACTTTCATAACAATAAAAACTCCCACCCTTCCACCTTTCTCTCCTACCCTACGTTTTTCCCCTTTCCTCAAAGACTTTCACTTCCACTGTCTTACTATCCACAACTCCTATCCATAATTGCAATGTCCATGTCTCTGCTTTTCTTTTTCTTTTTCTTTTGCTCAAATAATTTGTTGCATATTGTGTCCTTGAGGATATTCCTGGAATGTTTATTCCACCAATCTTGAATTTTTATTGAAGACTCAACAGGATATATATAACCCAATCTTCTCTCCGGTTCTATATCTCTCTCCCTCAGCTCCATTGAAGAATCCTATAAACACAAATCTCTCTCCTCTGCCCTACTCCATAGAGCTTAATTAAGTGCACATGGCTATTGTTTATGAGGGCAACAAACATGTCTCTGTTTCTCTTTTTCTTATGTTCTGAAAATTGTAGTGTCCATGTCTCTGTTTTTCTTTTTCTTTTGCTCTAATAATTTATTTTTTTTCCAACCATTTGTGATTTTGTTTTTTCATTATAAAGATTGCAGAAAAAGCAAGTGTAATTTACCCATAACTTTATGTGCATATTTTAGATTTGCATGATTTTAGATCTTTGAGAGATATTTAGTATAGACTAGAAGCTCTGCAGAGAAACAATAGAAATCCTAATAAGATCCTATGATTTTAGATCTTTACGTCCGGATGAAACATTAGAAATTCCAATAAGATTGTCCATTTTCAGAGAAAAAATATATATATAGTATAGACTAGAAGCTCTACAGAGAAAAGCTTTCCTAGCCACTGCAGATTTTGAAACCACAAATCTTTTAAGTTTTAAGAGAATTTCAACACAAACAACTTTCAAGCCTAGTTCTGCAGATTTATTTGCCCTTTTTGTTTATTTATATTAAAATATACCCAAATGAAAAGCCCAAATCATATCTACTACCTTATTAATTATCTCTATAAAAATGGTGAGCAGAGCAGTAATTGACCACATAGTAGACTTTTTCTTCATAAAGATCATAATAGCAGCAGTAATCACAACTTAACCAAGGGGTTGTACCTGTGTGACAATTAGTCACTTTGTATTTTTTTTTCAAACCATTTGTGATTTTAATTGATTTAACAAAAATCTATAATTATTAAATAAATTAATAAAAAAATATAAAATATAAAATATAAAAATTACAAATATTCAATGTTTATCACGTTATTAAAAAAAAAAGAGCTCAAATATTTGTAACTTAAATAAATTAAAAACATATATACAAACTATAAATATTCAATGTCTATCACGTTATTTAAAAAAAAAAAGAAAAAGAAACCCACAATTTTTATTCCTACAATTTATTCATGCATATCCAACACCCACAATTCACTGAATTAGACGTCTATCACATAAAATTTAGCAATATCTATAACTTAAATCAATTAAATAAATCCCAC